CATGAAGTTTTTCTGCATACAAAGAGGCTTAGATTCTTTCATTCTTTCCCTTCATTTATAGCACCATTTTGCATCAGCTATCTGGAAAGGTTTGTTAGATCACCTCATTCCACACAATCTTAGCACATTTTACATTTGAGAATTAAATTGCTATAGTTGGTTACTATTGAATAATGTGTCAATTTTATCTTATGTGATTGATTTAACACACAACTGATTTTTCAGAACCAATAAAAAAAAAAAAAGATGGCCGAAGGTGAGGATATCCAGCCCCTCGTCTGTGACAATGGAACTGGAATGGTCAAGGTATGTAATTTTTAGCATATGATGTGTTGTAATGATATTAGTGTGGACAGCTTTTTATGAACATATAAGTTTATGGTGAAATTTTCAGGCCGGATTTGCTGGAGATGATGCTCCGAGAGCTGTGTTTCCTAGCATTGTTGGGCGCCCCCGTCACACGGGAGTGATGGTTGGCATGGGCCAGAAGGATGCTTATGTTGGAGACGAGGCTCAATCGAAGAGAGGTATTTTGACTCTGAAGTACCCTATCGAACATGGAATTGTCAACAACTGGGATGACATGGAGAAAATATGGCATCATACTTTCTACAATGAACTCCGTGTGGCTCCCGAGGAGCACCCGGTGCTCCTCACGGAAGCTCCTCTTAACCCCAAGGCTAATCGTGAGAAAATGACACAAATCATGTTCGAAACGTTCAATGCCCCTGCTATGTATGTTGCTATCCAGGCCGTCCTTTCCCTTTACGCCAGTGGTCGTACAACTGGTAAGCATTATCATTAAGGCGAATAATTTGAATATTTGTCATAATATTGATATTAACTTGGTGGGTTTTAGGTATTGTTTTGGATTCTGGGGATGGTGTGAGTCACACGGTTCCAATCTACGAAGGTTACGCCCTGCCACACGCAATCCTGCGTCTTGATTTGGCAGGACGTGATCTCACCGACCATCTCATGAAGATTCTGACCGAGAGAGGCTATTCTTTCACCACTTCCGCGGAGCGGGAAATCGTGAGGGACATGAAGGAAAAGCTCTCGTACATTGCTCTCGACTACGAGCAAGAGCTCGAAACATCCAAGACGAGCTCATCTGTGGAAAAGAGCTACGAGCTGCCCGATGGACAGGTGATCACTATCGGCAACGAGCGATTCCGCTGCCCGGAGGTCCTCTTCCAGCCATCCATAATCGGGATGGAAGCTGCTGGCATCCACGAGACAACATACAATTCCATCATGAAGTGCGACGTCGATATTAGGAAGGACCTGTACGGGAATATCGTCCTCAGTGGTGGTACCACAATGTTTACCGGCATTGCTGATAGGATGAGCAAGGAGATCACGGCTTTGGCTCCAAGTAGTATGAAGATCAAGGTGGTTGCCCCGCCCGAGAGGAAGTACAGTGTTTGGATCGGAGGATCGATTTTAGCCTCCCTCAGCACATTCCAGCAGGTATGCCCCGATCCTTCTTAGCTTTATAAATATGATCATCTGGAACTATATAACATTACCTAATTATAAACGTTTCTTCCCCAATGCAGATGTGGATAGCAAAGGCTGAGTATGATGAGTCTGGCCCGTCGATTGTCCACAGAAAATGCTTCTAAGTGCAGCATGCTGGGAACGTCGCTAGAGAATTGTTATAAAAAACATTTTGTCATCAGTTGATTGCCAATAACTCTGGTTCTTGCTTGTTTTGCTTTGGTTTTTACTTCTATTTTTATTTTTGGTTTTCTTTTTACTTGTTACTCTGGCGCTTATGTTGGGTTTTTTTTTTATTTATTTTTGTTTTTTTTTTTTTTTTCTCTTTTTGAGATTTTCATTTGATAAGGTGGACTTGGGACCATGTTTGTTCATGCCAAGGATTCATTGAATCATTGTTATTATTATTATTAGTATTATTCTAAATTGGTTACCATGTAGAAGAAGATTTGTGAATTTCAATGATACTATTATTTGTGATTTTGGACCAACACTCAACTCGAGGATTGTTGTTTGTTTATAGTAGGGGCATTGCAATCTTTATGTACAGTTTGTGTTGCAACCTATATATGGTAAAACTAGGTTTTGATTGAAAAATACCTTTCTTTTATATTCTTCTCCCTAACACACCAGAAAGCAAATGTTCTTAGAATATCCAGACTAGTTTAGTTTTTTTCTCGGTTTTTTAATGATCCAATTATAAGAGAGAGCAAAGAGAAAAGGAAAGAAAAAAAAAAAGAAACAGTCGTATGGAACATTAGAAAAATGTACAATACACAATTCTTTACCATTCTGTCCATTTGATCAAAATGTTGTGGTATATTTAATTTTTAAGGGAGTGTTAATTCATTTAAATACAATGGTGCATTCTGTCTCAATCAAGTCACATCTTATAGTTGTATTATTATTTGTATATAAATGATATACCCAACAAGTCAGTTACTTTTTTGGCAACTGACAAGTGACACACAACAATGAGTCAATGACAACATGTGGAGTATGACTAAACTGAATAAGGCAATTTATATTGTGGACCAACTGGTCCACATACAATTATGTACATAGATTTAAACGACGTCGTTTTGATACTTAAATTTTAACATACAATTTTTTGTTTTTTCATGTTTCTACACAAATATTAATATATTTAAGTACAACACATGTTCTATATATATATGATTTAAGTAGAGACTTTATATTCTATAGACACATTATTTCACAATAAAGAAATAAATTCATAAACACAATATGTATTACACAACTACTAATCTATTTTAGGTACAAATTCAAACTACATAATTTCATAACATAAGACATAAAATCTCACAACACAAGATACATATACACGTACATGTTATAAATTTTGTTCTAGATACAAAATTCATACTCTTAAAGTACATAATTTCACAACACAAGACACAAACACATGCTTTACAAAAAAAAAAAAAAAAAAAAAAAAACAACAAACAGTCAAAATTAGAAGTCAAAAACAACATCCTACGGGACCAAGGTCCACAGTATAATAATTGAGTAAGATTGAAATTTCTTCGACTAGTTAACTAACACCGCATAAGAAAAAAGATATGCACCGTCACATTCACACTCCTTGTAAAACTTGCTTCCAGCAACAATGTGAATGTTCAATTCTTGACACAAATAAGAATTTCAATTGATGTAATGTTGTTGACTAGGCAAGAACTTCATATCTCAAATTGAGCTAGAAATGAATGCATGTGTCTACTAGCAAGATGCACAAACTAAAGCTATCCGTTCGATAATAATAAGGAAAAAAGTTTCTCGACTTTGTTTTGCATATATGAAGGAGCCCTTTGGGTCTCAATCACACTCCTACTACATCACATTAGCTCTAAGTAGTAAACTTCAAGAAGCTTTGGGATAGCAGCCTATAAATAGACAACAGCTAAAGTTCATCATCTTATCATTAAATTTGTTGGGTTCTGTAATACCATATTTGTCTAAATTGTCGTTACCTTTGTCTTGATTTTACGTTACTCCTTCAACCCAAATAACACATGCACTTTGCCATGGTTTTTTTTTTTTTTTTTTTACCCAGGATATCCCTCCCGTCAATAACCAAAAGATTAATCTCAATCCCTACGGTCAGCACAATTACTAAGCGGTAGGGGACCGGCCATGGCTTTTTCTTAATTACAAAGAATTAGCACTTCAATTCATGGAGTATACTCCCCCGTTCCCGTCCCCATAATCCTGAACTCGTCCCCCTCCCTGTCCCATCTCTGGCGGGAATTAAAAATAGTCCTCATTCCTGTCCCACGGAAAATTAGGCAAAGATGGAGATTCCCGTTTCTCGGTGTCAAAATCTTAAATTAGTGTAATTTTAAAAACTAAGATTTTAATTTTAATATATATATATATATATATATATATATATATATATATATATATATATATATATATATATATAGTAAAAGGTTCCCGTGCGGTTGAATGCTTCCCGTGCGGTTGTGCGGTTATTAATGTGCGTGAGATTTGTACTCAATGTGCGTGAGTGTTGTGTTTAATGTGCCTGAGATTTGTACTTAATGTGCGTGAATGTGTAAAATGCAGCAGAAAATATATAGATTTCAGCTTCTTCCCATCCCCAGTAGCCATTGCTCCCTCCCCGATGATGATGATGCGGAGGCGAGCTATTGTAGTTAAGAATTATGGGAATAATACAACAGAAATCCACACTTAGCTACTGTGCAAATTTTACTGTGAGTGCGTCATTTATATAAACATTCAACTCCACTGAAGGTAGCTGATAATCCAAAATCCATGGCCAAATTGAAGGAAGAAGTAACAAGAAGCTTGGGCGTTAATGTGCGTGAGTTTCTGTTCTGCTTCCTTCTGAGCTCGTAATTCTGAAATACTCACGCACATTAAACACAAATCTCACGCACATTAAACACAATGCTCAGGCATATTAAGTACAAAACTCACTCATATTAAGCACATTAACATTAAGTATAAACCTCACGCACATAAATCAACCGCACAACCGCACGGAAAGCAACAAATGCACCTGATCCCTTCCATATATATATATATATATATATATATAGGGGTATCCCTTCCCGGACGAAAAATTACATACATTCTTCACTCCCAGAAAATTTTCTTCATCCCCATCTCCCTCCGAGCTAGAACGGGATCCCCGTGGGATGGGTTAAATTGGCATCCCTACATGTAATGTGCATTTTCATCGTATTTATAACTTTAATTTTTGTTCTCTCAAACATCTACCTATAGCGCAGCTCCTTTTCTGCAGCCTTTATTATTACTAGTTGCTTTCGTTTTTGTCCAGGATTGTTTGTTCCGAGGTCTGGTTGTGTTTGAGAGCATTCTGTAGCTTGATATGACCGCCGGCTAAGGGTTCATGGGCAAACTACATACTATATAAACGTACTGAAGCTATTAGGCTCAGCCAAAGCTATTTGACCTGAGCTTTCTCTTTTCTGTTCTTCTGAAACAAAATGGCGAAACTTGATTCTCTCTTCTTGATCGTAGCCGCCCTGGCTCTGGGCTGCCTAGCCGCCGCACAAGATTTCTGTGTGAGGGATCGCAGTGGCCCGCCATGCAAGGATCCAAGCCTTGTTCAGGAAGAGGACTTTCTATTTTCCGGGTTGCATTTACCCGGCGACGCATCATCGAACCGCCTGAAGTTTAATGTGACCGCCGTCACCGTGGCTCAGATACCAGGGCTCAACACTCTGGGGCTCTCAATGGCCCGCATTGATTTCGGACCACAGGGCGGCGTTCCTCCCCACGTTCACCCCACCGCCACGGAGATGTTCACTGTAATCCAAGGGGTTTTCGTGGTTGGGTTTGTGACGTCCGACCCTGAGCATCGTCTCTTCGTCAGGAGCCTCCGGAAGGGCGACGTGTTTGTGTTCCCGGCGGGAGTGGTTCATTTCGTGCGCAACGTGAAATACGAACGCGGCGTCGGGATTTCTGCGTTCAACAGTGAGAACCCCAGAACAACGACGATCGCCGATGCGGTTTTCGGATCGTATATGCCGATTGGGGATGGGATTCTTGGCCCGGCTTTCCAGATTGGTTCCGATTTGGTTTTTGAAATCCAAGCAAAGTTCAACAATCACTCCAACTTTTAATAGTCTTGTGGTCCTCGTCATTAAGTCACAAATAACACTATTGAAAATTATGAAATTTCCGACCACCTGAAAGTGATCATAAATTAAGTCGAAAGTCTTGTTCCGACCACTTTTGGTATTTAGAAAAAAACCTTTGTTGCTATTTCCGACCACTTTTTGGTATCAATTTGATTTAAGATCACTTTCAGGTGGTGGAAAATTCTATAATTTCCAGTAGTGTAAATTCAAACTTATCATCATTTAAAAAAAAAGATAAAAAGTTTTAAAGCATTCTAATAATTGAAGCATGAGTTGTTAGCCCGTAGGCTCTATCTTAACTAAAACCTATGCTGATTGCATTGCACATCTATACTTATATATTATATATGCTCAACAATAATGCCTCCATCCTCAGAAGTGTTTTACTTTGCTCAGTACGTGTGTTTGGAACTTCAAAGTTATGCTGTCTCTGTACCCAAATATCTAATCTGTTCTACAAGTTTTGTAATATGATTACATGCAGTGATGTTATATTCTATCATTTTATGTTAGGAGTAGGGAACAAACATAGCTAGAGAACTGCCCCCTTCCAATTAGCTACAATGTTAAAGTATAAAATTCGTTTTTAATAGTGAAAATTGATATGATTACCTCTTTACAATTGCATACATTCTAGACAAGCATCATATATATCATAGGCCGGTAGTAACACATACATTATGTATACTAACATTTCTTACTATAACAATATAATCGAATGAGATCACAATTTTTCTAATAACTAGTTAACTACAGAGAACATAATGTTAGTGATGGAATTAATTAAATCGGGGTTCGAATTAATTAACCCGAATAAATAAATAAACGTGACAAGTATATGATTAAACGATAATATGGGTATGAATTATGATACGAATATAGTCACGGGGACGAATATTGTATTAATCGCGTATAAAGTGCTATTACAAAGGTACAAGACGTGTAATAATAAGACCAGTTTAGATAGAAAGTAGAAGATGCCTCTTTAGGACATGGAAGAGTGTTTTTATAGGCTATGTTGTCGTAACAGCCCCGGAGAACTCGGTGGGAGCCGCCTGATCCGCAACCGCCGCCATAAGACTCGCTCCACGTGAGGACCCCGTCTCTTGGCCGAGCACAGGGCTCGGCCAAGTAGCCAGTCGAGGGGTAGCTGACCCCAAGGGGGGCAGGCCCCTCGTGGTTTGCTTGACCGGGTCCGATGTCCTGGGTCAGGTTCGCTCCGAATCCATCCGTGATTATTTCATCAGTTAGCACTAATGAGTTATTTCATGCAAATTGACAAATTATATAGTGGACCAGGGTCCAATGTCTACCTTAAATGGTGAATCCTGTTCCAAAAATGACATCATTTTATTTTCAGTGTCAATTAGTACGTGTTTAATATTTAATAACATTTTGTACTATGTTCATAATGCTAATTTTAATGTCTATAAACACTAAAATAAATGTACATAATATCTATTTCCATTCAATTTATAGTAGCTATGTTCATAATGTTCAGTCTATATGTTCATAAAAACAAAACTTAACATACATAAACATTAGAATAAAATAATGACTTTATGGCGGATATGGCTGGAGCCATCCAACCCCATCATTCTATAGTTTAGTGCCTTCATATTGGGGTATTCCCCCTCCTATGTACCAAAACTAATAATAATATAATAATGATTTTATGCACATAGTTAATTAGTAATGGATGGGTTCAAATTTTCTTGAACTTGAGCTGAATGGGCCATTGGGCTAGAGTAGAATGTTAGTCGACGAAGAAAACGCATGCATATATAGGCAATCGTTATACCGCAATCGTAATGAGACGTTATGCTGTGGAATCGTGCCCAACGTGCATTATGGGCACGGTAACGGTGCCGTCAAGCACCGTTATTTTTTTTTTTTTGAAAATCAACCTGGCGGTTGTATTTATAGAAGAGTTAAAATAGAGTCTGGTGGAACATTGTTCCAGTACATAGTAGTATTGAAACTAAGTGCTGAAGTAGCTAAAGTATGAGCTAATAAATTCTGTAATCTAGGAATGTAAAGCACTGAACAATAATTAAAGGCAGACATATAGGTTCTGCAACTATCGATGGCATAACCTAAATGCGAGCGTAACGTGGGTGGTGGCCCAGATAAGTAGCACTGTAACTGTTGACAATCCGTATGAATCCGTATAGATAGCTCATTCCTCCTCTTAAGCCATGATAAAGCTTCTTTGCATGCCAAAGCCTCGGCCATGAGCGGTGAGTGGCAACCTGCTAACGGGGCGCTGAAGGCGGATATGTAGTGGCCATTGGCATCGAGGAGTACCGCACCAACAGCCGCGACATTGGTTCCTCGATGATAACTTGCGTCCACATAACATTTGACGGGTGTCATCATCTCGCCAATCACGGATTCCGAAGCGGCAGCTTGCAGCGGCGGCAGTTCGTTCCCGGCAGGCTCGGCGTTCGGTCCCAGCGGCGGCAGTGGGTGCTGTTCGGCAGCGACGTGGTGGCTGGCGGTCCGTGGCTGTGACGGCAAGTGGCGGTGGTGAATATCCTTCCAAGCTGTCATTGTGGCAGCCGCCACTGACAATAATTTCGTTGGTGTTGGTAGGCAGGCATCCCAAACCGCTCCGTTTCTGGCCCTCCAAAGATGGTATAAAATTGCAGTTGCATAAACAATTCCATCAAAGTCTAGAACATTCAAGATTGCACTAAACCATTCATGGAAAATATTTGTGATAATATTGGGGGTTGGAAGGTTGGATTTTGCCCAAATGGAGTGTGCATAGTCACACAAAACTAATGCATGCATGGTATCTTCATTCACATTTCCACACATGGCACACAATGGGTTAACATCCACTCTCTTTATAAGCAGATTGTTTGTGGTAGGAAGGATATCACAAATAGCTCTCCATAAGAATGTCTTCCACTTTGGTGGTATTTTTAATTTCCATAGGGATAACCATTCATTAAAAATACCATTAGAATTATGCTCATAACTCCCCACTATATGCCTGTAGCCACTCTTGACTGAATAACATCCATTAGGGTCACCATACCAATACCATATATCATCATACTCAGGGGCAATTGGTATAATCTGAATTCTGGATATATCACTTGGTTGGAAAATATCTGCCAATATATGCAGATCCCAGGTGCCTGTATCGCGATCAATTAGCCCTATTACTTTGGCCCCAGACAGATATTGCGGCATTTCCGTGTGAATCATAGGGTCCAGTTCATCATTTAGCCAGGGATGCTCCCATATCAAGGTAGAACTTCCATTTCCAACTCTTCTTCTTATGCCACCACATACTAGATCCTTCGCTGCCATGATACTGCGCCAACAAAAACTTGGATTATTTCCTATAGTTGCCTCTAGGAAAGTATCCTTTGGATAATATCTTGCTTTATAAACTTTGGCTACCAATGAGTCTGTGTTAGTGAGCAGCCTCCATGCCTGCTTTTCTAACATTGCCAAATTAAATGCCCTTAGATCTTTGAATCCCTGTCCACCATATTTCTTTGGGATACACAATTTATCCCAGGCTTTCCAATGTATGCCACGATCCGTACCCGACCCCCACCAGTACCGATTCATAGTACGCTCAATAGCCGTACAAACAGATATTGGTAGAAGAAAAACACTCATTGAAAAAGTTGGCATTGCCTGGGCCACACTTTTCAACAATATTTCCTTCCCGGCCTGCGTTAGCAACTTCTTATTCCAAGATCCAACCCTTTGCTTAATTTTATCCTCAATGTATGCGAATGCCGCCTTTTTGTTCCGTCCGACAAAAGAAGGCAGCCCCAGATATTTCCCAAAGTTGGGGGCTTGTGTAACCCCCAGTATTTGTGCCACCATATCTTTATCATTCTGCCCTGTATTCCTGCTGTAGCATATGCTGGATTTGTGGTAGTTTACTTTCTGGCCGGATAAGCTCTCATATAACTGTAAACAATTCTTTATTTCAGATGCTTCGTGTCTGTTTGCTCTAAAAAACAGTAGGCTATCATCTGCAAAAAATAAGTGAGAGATCGGTGGTGCGCCTCTAGCAACCCTGCAACCATGTATTAAACCTCTATTCTGCACCTGCTGCAATAATAGTGAGAGCCCCTCTGCACATATGATAAATAAATACGGAGATAATGGGTCTCCCTGGCGGAGGCCACGCGTGGGTGTAATGGAGGTACTGCGAGTGCCATTTATCATAAAGCTATACGACACAATGGTCACACACAACATAAGTAACTCAACCCATCTATCATCAAAGCCCAAAGCTAACAACATCCCACGGAGGAAGGGCCATTCCATGCAGTCATAAGCTTTGGCCATATCCAGTTTGAGTGCACTCCATCCTACTGCCCCGCATTGTTTTCTATTCAGGTAGTGCCCTACTTCCGCAGCTACAAGAATATTATCAGTAATCAGCCTGTCTGGTATAAAAGCACTCTGGGATGCAGAAATTAAATCTCCCATTAACGGCTTCATTCTCTGGGTAATCATCTTAGCCATTATCCTGTATATTACATTGCTTAATGCTATCGGGCGAAAATCTGCTACCACTTGAGGGGTTTTCTTCTTGGGGATGAGTACCACATCTGTATCATTCAAATTGGGGGGCAAAACACGGTTGTTTAGGCAATCCACTATAAATGCCGCAACATCACTACCAACTATATCCCAGAATTGTTGATAAAATCCTGGGTTCATACCATCTGGTCCAGGTGCTTTGTCAGGGGCCATCGCAAATAGAGCATCTTTAACCTCAAATATCTCAAAGGGTCGTAATAATGACTCATTTTGATCCTGGGTTACCCGGGGGGATACTCCAGAAAACAGATTGTCACCATTCAATGGGTTACAGGAAGAAAATATATGGCTAAAATAATCCAAAATAACTGCACTCATAGCATCACCTTCCACCCAATCCCCACTATCATTCATAAGTTTATAAATAGTATTTTTCTTCTTACGATGAGAGACGTACCTGTGATAGAATTTCGTATTAGCATCCGCATTCCTTAACCAGTGTTGTTTTGCCCTTTGCCTCCAGTAAGCATCTTCTTGGATCCCATATTACTCAGAATTCCTTCCAGGCGCTGGAATTCATTCAAGGATGCCACATCAGTACGACCCCTAAGATGTAACTGTTGCTTCCGCAGGAGTCTGATTTTTTCACCAAACTTATGGTACCGGTCTCCGCCCCATCTTGACAATTTGTTCCCACAGTGTGTTATACAGTCCTGGATCCCTTCACTCCTCCCCTCCTCCCACGACTTCTCCACCACATTCCTGCATCCATCATCATACAACCAGGCCATTTCAAACCGAAACCCTCTCCTTCCTCCTCCTCCGTTATTTATTTATTTATTTATTTTATTATTTTTTTAAAAAATTTATTTCCAGACCGCTTCGTTATAGGAGTATATATTCACAGCTTTGTGTTCATAATTTCATAACTGTACATTAATAATTTCATAACTGTACATTCATAATTCCATAACTGTACATTCATAATTCCGTAATTGTACATTCATAATTCAATAACTGTAAATTCATAATTTTCGAAGCTCTATGTTCATAATTGTAAGTTCATAATGTCAGAGTTCTATGTTCATAATTTCATAACTGTACATTCATAATTTCATAACTGTACATTCATAATTCCATAACTGTACATTCATAATTCCATACTATATATTCATAATTCCATACCGAACATTCATAATTTTCGAAGCTCTATGTTCATAATTGTAAGTTCATAATTCCATAAATGTACATTCATAATTCTATAACTGTACATTCATAATGTCATAACTGTATATTCATAATTTCATAACGAATATGCCGTTAACGCCGTTAACGGCGTTTCGAACAATTTTTTTTTTTTTTTTTTGTTAGTTAAAACGGCGTCGTTTTCAGTGAAAACGACGCCGTTTTAGCGCCGTGCGCATAGCATAATTTTCCAATCGTAATGCTGTGCAACCGCGTGTTCACCATGCATGGTGCACACGGTTGCAAAACGATGCCGTTTTATTTATTTATTTTTTTTTTTAAATCGCTTTCGGATTATCGTTAACGGCGTTAGGCGGTTTCCTTTCGTATTCAAATAGTAGGATATATTCATAATTTCATAATTATATATTCATAATTTGACAATAGTACATTCAAAAATAATAGCTACACATTCATAATTTCATATCCATATATTCATAATTTCACAACTAGACATTCATAATTACATAACTCCATATTCAGAATTCTTAAAGTGCTTGTTCACAGAGAATTATATCCATAATTGCATAACTACACATCCATAATTTCAAAACTATATATCCATAACTTCATAACTATATATCCATAACTTAATAACTATACATCCATAACTTCATAACTATATATCCATAATTTCATAACTATATATCCATAACTTCATAACTATATATTCATAATTAGACGTCGATTGGAGTTTTTGTAAAAATAAAAAATAAAAAATTATTTGATTGTTGGAGTTAAACGGTGCCACTACTCCATCATAGTAAACGGTGTCGTTTTGCAACTGTGTGCACCATGCATGGTGCACACGGTTGCACAGAATAATTTGCGGAGTATTATTGACCAAGGCGGTCAAGCTAGATTGGACATGGAATGGGCTGGCTTAGGATGCGGTAAATGTACGTTGTCCTTAACAGCACGTTTGGTTCATGGAATGAATTTGCAGGGAATAGGAATGTTATTTCACAGGGGATGTATTCTATTGTTTAGTTGGTTGAGGGAATAGACTTTAGTAACAACAACAACAACAACAACAACAACAACAACAACAATAATAATAATAATAATAATAATAATTATTATTATTATTATTATTATTATTATACAAATACATATTTATATTTATATTTATTTTCCCATTTGTCCCATATCGGTTGGAGAAGTAAGGAATGGAGCCTTGAGACTCATTTTATAGGAGTCTCAAGGCTCCATAATTTCAATTGCAATGCTCATCCGCTAGGCAAGCTTGCAATGCCCATCCTCTAGGCATGCAGATGGGCATGCTACTTAATTTAGGAGTTAAGGCTCTATAATTAAGGAGTCTTATATAGTTATATATATATATATATATATATATATATATATATATATATATATATATATATATATATATATATATATATATATTTTGATGGATAAAAATTATAATTAATTAAATATATACATTTATATAGTACATTATATTTATTAAATAAATATAAATATTATATAATGTGCAAAAGGTATTTTTGATATAAAAGCTATTCCCAAGGGCATGGAATGTTGAACCCCGGCCAGACAGAGCATTTGGGAGGCTAAATCGATGTTCACTGCGCACAAGGAACCCCCCTCACTTTGAGAGGTTGATCCCACACTACCGCTAGTGAGACTCGATCCCTAATCATTCTTCCAAAGTTTCACTTCTATGACCAGTTGAGCTACCAATGCGGACATATATATATATATATATATATATATATATATATATATATATATATATATATATATATATATATATATATATTATTCTTTACATTATGTATAGTTGTGTAGTTGTGTGATCTCTATATCTTAAGCTAATTTAAAATTGTTTTATTATTTAAAGAATATACTCTCATAAAAAAATGTATAACCAATTATGAACTGAATTTACGATCTATATATAATAAGTTAATAACCAGAAGCTAAGTAGTTCCTCATTAAGTGATCTAGAAACCTTAGAAATCTAATTTCCACGAGGATATTGATTTCGAACACATACAAACTAAATGCAGAAACAAATTAATTTTAACACAAAAATAATAATAAAAATGAAAGCAAAATAATCACAATAAAATTAATTTCAAACAGACTCAATTAAGAAGACCACAACACAAATAATTAAACTATTTTAGGCAAAGTAGTGAAATAATGTTTGTCACGCGGTCACGCCTTTTGATTTGATGTATTTTATTTTAGAATTTGGACTGGATGTTTGAAACTGTATTCTTGTCCACTTGGAAAGCCTTTGCAAGGATATCACCACTAATTGGCGGCTCCGACCCGAATACGGCGTTGGCGATGGTGATCACACCAGGGTTCTGACTGCTCAATCCAGCAAAAGCCACCGCCTTTGTGTACCCAACATTGCGCTGAAAATGGACAAGCCCCACCGGAAACACGAAAACGTCGCCGGCCTTGAGAACCTTAGAGATGAGACGGTTGTCGGGGTTGGAGGTGACGAACCCAACTTCAAGAACTCCTTGTAGAACCACGATGATTTCTGTGGCTCTGGGGTGAGTGTGGGGAGGGTTTTGTCCCCATGGCTCGTAGTCAATGCGCACCAGTGAAACGCCGAGAGTGTTGAGCCCCGGGATTTGAGCCACGTTCACGGCGGTGACTTTGGAGCCATTGGGATTTGATGTGTTGCCAGGTAAATGCAGCCCGCTGAAGAAAAAGTCACTGGCTTCAACCATCTTGGGATCCTTGCATGCAAAGCCGTTAACCTTGGCGGAGCTACTAGGATCTGCAACGCAGAAGTCTTGCAGTGGGCTAGGCTCGAATGCCATGGCGAGGCCGCAGAAAGTGAGAGCTACCAGCAAGCTCAGAAAGACGGCGAGATTTGCCATTTAATTTGATTTTGAGCTGAACTGGATGGGAAGCTAATAAGCTAGGAACTGATGAAGGATGATGAAATGGATGTGTTTGAGGTAATCTTTATATAGGCAGATCGAGTTCATGCGTATACATGATTAAAGTCTGTAGATTTGGAGGATATATATTATATTATATATTATACTATGGCTACGACTTGAAGCCGTCCAAGCATGTACACGGAAATTGGCCTGGGTTGACAGCGTCCGAGCTGAGTTGTGCATACTCGCTCAGAGGAAGTTAGCGCGCGGACAAGGAGAAGAGGTTTGCCGGCTGCTGCTATCTATCTTAATTTTGCAATTTGGATAACACACGCGAGCGAGTTTCATTTTAATATAATATTGGATAGATGAGGAAATGGTCATAGGTTTGCTTAGTAGCTTGTTCGATCAAGATCAATTTAAAAGAAAATGTATGTTTTGCTTATCAAGATGAAAGTAATAATTTTAAGTTGGATAAAGTTAGATTAAAAAATTTTCACCAAAATCTTTCATCATTTGTATGGTCATTGATGGGATGGGCATACACCCAGTCGGACAAGGCAGCCAAAGATATGTGAAGTTGGCGAGTAAGTCGAGTACAAAAGGTAAAGTACCAGCCATATGAGTATGTACTGTCGAGTCGGTCAAGTGGGCATATATAGGTAGGTTGGAAGAGACATGGGAGCAAGCAGTCAGAGAGGCAGGATGATAGAATTGGTCAGTCGTATGGCAAGATGCTTGACAGAGGCAGACGGGAGCAAATCGGGTAGAAGGGTGGGACTTGTAGGCATCCAGCCGGGTAGCTGGATGGGACCTGCGTACAGCTAGCCAGGTAGCTGGATGGGACCTGTAAGCGGGCAGTCGGGTAGTGACCGAGGGAGGAAGTTACACGGGCAGAGGTTCGGATGAAGTGACGAGCAAACGAAGAATCGTTCGGGTGGAACATGCATGAGACTAGGGCCTAAAGGAGTTGTACCTAGTGGCATAGCTAGGCAACAAGACGACGGGACGTGTTAGTCGGTGGCCGGAGATAGAAGATTGGCCAACTCTGGAGAAGTCATATCCAGAAGAGATTGGAGAGCGGATCTTGCGGGAGGTGGAGGAAAATCCGGAAGCTACAAGGAAAGAAAATCAATTGTATTTATGGCCGATTAGGGTAACCTAAATTAGATCTTATATCTTTAATTGTATAAATAGGCCTACCTAAAGCACCCTGAAAAAGGGTTAAGCTTTTCTTAAGCATACACAAGCAATAAAAACACGGACAACTATGTTTCATATAATTTTCTGGTAGTGTTAACCCACTGTTTGACTACTCTGATAATCAATAAAACCAACTATCATAAAACTCTTTATATTCATTGATTATTATAAATTAACCCTTACTGCAATAATAATCTACCTATACTGCCACACTAATAGTGAAGATTTTTGGTAAAATAAAAAATAAAAAATTTAACAGAATTAATTACATAAGAGTACAATAATAGAAAATGACACTTTTTCCCACTGAGTTATATACCTATAGCATTTTTTCCCCCTAAATTATTGAAGTGACTGTTTTCCCCCTGAAATGTTAAATGGACATATTTACCCTTAAACTAAATATTTAATTTATTTTTTTTTCTCTAACAAATTATGACCATAATTTGGTTCAAACCAAACAAACACTATAGCAACCAAACCGAAATATTCCAGTTACAATTTAGAATCGAAATTCGATATTTAGAGTTTATTAAAATCGTGAACCGGAACGGACGGTTCATGTTTCAAACTGAAAAAATAAAATACATTTATTGTTGAATTTAGACTATTTTAAAATAAAAAATAAAATTTTAAAATAAAGACGGTTCAAAATCGCGAATCGGATCCGGAACTGCCGGTTCACGGTTCAAGATTCAATTTTTTTGATACATAATTTTTATAAATTGACATTTAAATATTAGATTCTAGATCTGAATTATAACCGGAAACTATTAATTCGATTGCTTTAGTATCCGGTTCAATTCAAACCGAACCGTGGTCATCCCTACGTATACGCAATAATTTGTTGGAGTGGTAAAATAAATAAAATGTTTACTTTAAGGGTATAAATGTCAATTTAATATATCAAGGGGAAAAAACACCACTTTTAGAATAATTGAGGGGACTAATGTGCTTACCTAAATAATTGAGGGGGAAAAGTGCTATAAGTATATAACTCAGGGGTAAAAAGTGTCATTTTCCCTTTCTAATTTTAAAACTATCTATTTTAAAGTAAAATAATCACAATAAAATGAAGAGTTAATTTCATTTTTGGTCCTAGATTTATAAGTGACAATCCACTTTTAGTCCTTTTTTATTTGAACATCCATTTTTTGTCCTAGTATCATTGTGACATGACCAATTTTGGTCCTCTATCAATAAAATCGTTGAAATTTTGTTAAACACAAGGGCATTTCGCTCTTTATTTATGAATTTGTTCAAAAAAATAAACATAAAAAATATAATTGGTCAACGCACTTTGTATAAAAAATATCAAAATGTACTTTTATTTAACGGAATTTCATCGATTTGTTGATAGAATACAAAAATTGGTCATGTCACAATAATACTATGACCAAAAGGGGATATTTTGATTAAAAAAGAAAAAAGAAAAAAAAAAGAAAAAAAAAAAAAACTAAGTGGAATGTCACCTATAAATTTAAGACCAAAATTGGAATTAACTCTAAAATTAATTTCAAACAAATTCATGGTTAATGTATGAGAACTAAGAAGGGAAAATAATATTAAGACTAGCTATGGTGATTGTGAACACAAAAAATTGAATAAGGATGTATTTAAATTCAAAATTTTGGTTACATATCAAGTATCAATGTTGTGAAGTCTCTGAATGGTCATCTGATTTTTCAATTGGTCAATTGGATGCGTTGAACACTCCACTACTAAAGGGTCTCCGGAGTTCTAGTGGCTTAATCTTCAAAGAAGAACTAAATGGCTTGGGTCCTGTTTGGTAAAATGGTTGTTAGCTGATAGTTATTTGTTGTTAGCTGATTGTGTTAATTGGAGTGTATAAATAGTTGATAACATTAGCTGATTGTAGAAAAGTGTTTGGTAAATTAGTTGTTAGCTAATAGCTGTTTGGTATAATTTCTTTTCTCAAAAAGCTAATTAAAAAAGTTACTTGGAGTAGCTTTTTGAATTTTAGCCTTTTGGAGTTGCAAAAAGCTAATTAACCAAACATTTATATTGATATTTTAACTAAATCAAACAATTAATAGTGGTCAAATAAGCCAAAATTGGCTTATAGGCCAATTTTTTACCAAACAGGCCTTTGATCTTTATGGAGGAGGGGCTTTTACTTTTTAGGATCATATTTTTATTGTGATCTCTAAATAATATTTCCAGGATGTTTACATGATTTTTCCTAAGATCAATACATAGAAATAAGATGTCATATTTATAGTTGTAGGATAGAAAAGTTTTGATAAATTTAAACTCTTTTGATATTATCTAATTAAACAAATTAGACAGTATCAATATCATTCAAAATATATTCAAATATATATTAATATTAAAAATAATCACTATTTATCAAAATTTCAGTGTGAACACTAATCATTATTGGGGTCCAAATTCTCCGATGACCTTTCTAAGTTATTAGTATTAATGATCACTATTATATGGGTGGATACAAATGAACAATTTTTTAGATTCTAAAAGTGGTAAAAAAAATGGTAATTCTAAACATACAAGCTAAAACTATATGGGAACCGGGGTTAATAAACTTCTAAGTCTTTTTAACTTTTGAAACAAAAACCACAAAAATATGTGCAATGGAAGAAGAGAAGTCTTTTGTTTGCTTGGTTTAGATTAGAATTCATTCCTTAAGTTTTGAATACGTTTAAATTTTAAGAAAATTTGATACTTGCCCAATGACTTGTAATTTAACAACAGACTAGTACTTTTCATATGAAAAGTCTCAATTAAGTTCAAAAAGATTACTAAATTTTAATTTTTAAATTATAAGTTATAACTAATTTTAGGCTTCCAATTCAGCATGTCAAATGGAGTCATCGTAACACTAACTAACAAATGAGAATTATGCCAAAATAAATGTTAAAAAACAACAAAGTTAAAGTTTTTAACTTCCAAAATAGGAAATTGTAATTAATATCCAAAAAATTAAATATATAAAAGTAAAAAGTTATAAGTATCTTAGGCCGGGTAACTCAAGTTGTTTGTTTTAAAGGTAAATTTCAAATTAAGGCCATTCTAGCTAGATAGAATCCGTTGTTCATGAATCTGTCAACCAACAATTGTCGGTCGCCTTCCTCCTTATCCTTTGGAGAATCTTCGGACAAAACTGCAAAATTAACATAATATATCAGCCGGCGAACCTACCTCTTCACCTTGTCCCATTCACCCATGCGCTTCCTCTCAGTATAGGATTCGCATGTACAATTCTGTTGCACCCAATAACCACACCTCCCGCCTATCTACATGATTCTTTAATTTGGACGGCTTCACAAACATACTATTTCAAACAAATCCTCACTCAACTGACCAACAAGTTAGACTAGGTTTTTCTCATTCCGACCGCTAGTGAGACTGGATCCTTAATTTCTTGTGACAAATTTCACCTCTACAACCAGTTGAGCTGCTTGTGCAGATAATGATGCATGAATAAACTCTCTCTATATAAAGAGTAGTTCAACCACATCCTCTTCATCATCCATTCCTAGCTAGCTTAATTAGCTTCCTTAGCTTCCATTGTACTTTCAATTCAAACTTATATAAAAATGGCAAATCTCACCGTCTTTCTGAGCTTGGTAGCTCTCACTTTCTGCGGCCTCGCCATGGCATTCGAGCCTAGCCCACTGCAAGACTTCTGCGTTGCAGATCCTAGTAGCTCGGCCAAGGTTAATGGCTTTTTATGCAAGGATCCCAAGATGGTTCAAGCGAGTGACTTTTTCTTCAGCGGGCTGCATTTACCTGGCAACACATCAAATCCCAATGGCTCCAAAGTCACCGCCGTGAATGTTGCTCAAATCCCGG